GGCCGCGAGCTCCCGAGGTCGCGCCTGCGTAGGGCGTGCCAGAAAGGGCAGGGGGCGGGGCGCCATGAGGGGGCGGGGCCGCGAGCTCCCCGAGGTCACGCCGGCGTAGGGGCGCCGGGCAGAGGGCGGGGCCGCATGCTTCCAGAGGTCGCGCATGCGTAGGGCGCGCCGGGGAGTGTACCGGCGGGACGCTGTGGGGGCGGGGCCGCGTGGCCGTGTGGCTTCCGAGGGGCAGCGAGAGGCCTCCTAGGTGTCGCCTCGTCACGGGCTCTCCGGTTTTCTACGCGCCCTTCGGGGTTGCGATCGTAGTCCACAGTGGCATGGTAACTAGTGTTGCTCTCTCTCCCACACACGGGGACTCACGGATTGGTCTTCCTCGCCGCCTGTTGCTGGCCCTGGAATATGCCGAGTTCGTGCCCACACCAGGACACACACACGAAACAGCTTTCAGAAAATGAGCTTCGCCCTGGAGGCTGTCAGACTAGACTGCGTTTCTAAAAATAAGGCCCTAAAAACCATGGAGGCTAGGAGGAATGGTAAAACCTAAGAACTCTGTCAAGGCTGAGTTCTTGAATGCTGAATAATAAAACCAGGAACTGAAAGAAAGCTAAAAGGTGTATTGGAGTAAAATTACTGCATTAAGCCCTAACAGTTTACATATGTTTGGGGAATAACAGTCATAATGAGTCTGGATGAGAAAATAATTTTGAAAACAAATTCAACTTGTTGAAGCTTTGGGAAAACACACAGTACTTAAGTACTACTTAGAATATTAGGCAGACTGACCCCCAATGTTGTAAATACAGTATCGTCATTATTAGAAGCCGTGCAACACTAAAAACATTTTACAAAAAAATCACAATCAACTTCGTTGTGGCATACTTAGTGTTGTCCAGAAATTTAGTTTTGCATAATTGAAATCAACATCATGTAGCTTTATATTTTGCTTTTTTCTCTTTCCATACTTTAAACAGTTCTTACATTTTTGCAGTCTATTTTTAAGTGGGACATAAGATTTCCCTTAGATAGTCTGTATATAGGCTCAACTTTAGGTCCCCAAAATTGAGATTAGATCTCTAAATTAAGGTTACTGTCACTGAGTAGAAAATACAACGAAAAGAAATAGAGTTTAAAGGGTAATATAAGTCATTTATACAAATTAAACAACCAAAAGGACTGGCTGTTTATGAGCAGTGGTAAGTTTCCATTCTGTGGACCCAGGGTACAGACACATGTACAGTATCCTAATTAAGGCTTGAACTCAGCTGACCCATCTCTCTTACCTAATTAAATAAGATGATACAAGATGATTTAACATTTTACATCAGTGGTCTTCTAATTGAGGTATGTTTCCACTATGGGATTTTTAAGGAATAGGTGGATATTTAGTTTTAAGGATGCTGTTTCCTGAATCTTCAACTTTATCCTTAATATTCTTTCCTAAAATTGATCTGCTGGGGAAAGAATGCAGTCACTATATTTCAGTGGTTCAGTTGCCACCTCTTTCACAATAGTTGAGTATTTCCCAAGTTGCATATAGGTGTACTTCTCACGCAGTGAGACTCTTAAAAGAATGCATTGCCCTGGGATGTGAAAACTTCATGTAACCTTTGCCAGTTTTGTATGGATGAAAGACTGGGCTGTCTTGAGAAAGTGACTACATAATGACTAGTAACTCATTCTTTTGCATGCCAGATGATTTCTGAATAATCTTTTTTTTTTAATTTTTAATTTTTTTTTTTTTTTTGGAGAGTGTTTTCTATAGGGTACGTGTGCTCGCCAGAAAGACAGAGAGAGACAGAGAGATAGAAAGCGAGAAATCACCCCCCAGGGACGATGGTCACACCGCAATCTCTTCTCCTCCATTCTCCTCTCTGGATTTGGGCACACACGCACACGCACCCAGCGCGAGTTTAAGCCACCGGGTCCAGAACTTGAACCGCGGACTGCTACATGGGAATCCAGCAACATAGCCATTACGCTAACTGCTGGCCCCTCCCCCCAAAATAATTTATTTTAACAAAATATGACCTAAAGATTACTCAGTGAGTTTAAAAATGGAAAGAGTTCAAAGAATTGACATTGATAGATTCGCAAAACTCCTTATAAACCCATAATTATAAACCTGAAAACAAGTCTCATTTATAAAAACAAAACTTGAAGGCTGGCCCCTTAGTGGTTACGTGCTATCCATAAAAAGCTCTCATGTAGCTGACCCAGGTTCAAGTCCCAAACCTGGTAGCTTGAAAAACACGCTGGACATGTATGCCACAAAACATGATGGGGTGGAGAAATGGAGGAAAAACAATTGCAGAATGGCCATGACCCATTAAGTAGTACTTTCTCTCCCTGTCCCTCTAGGGAGCTCACATGCCCTCTGACAATTAAAAAAGAAAGAAAAATTGAGAAAACATTGATGCTGAACTCTGTCTCTATAAAAAGTAGTGTGTACAACAAACACAGCCAGAGAGTGTCGCAGCAACGATCCATGCTCTGTAGTGCTGGACCACATGGGAAAGTTTGGCATTCACAGGTAGGGGCCTCCCTATACAGGCTGGCTCTGTGTGCCTGTGATCCAGAGTGGCTGTGCCTAGAACCTTCGTGCAAGGATTGTGTCAGGCATCTCTTTCTTTCATGAAAGAAACGAATTTTTTAAATGTATGCAGTCATTGTAAAACAAAAATCACATTTCATAATTATAAAAATTTGTAATACAGTTTCTATTGTTTTAATTATATGACTATTACTAATAATCATGTCTCAATCTACAAGAAAATACTTCGACACTTAGTCTTTTAGTCATAAATTTAAAATTAAATTTTTAATTTTCT